AAACAAATAGTATAATATTTGTATTTTTATGTCTTATACAAATTGATATCCTTAAATTGTTATTTTAGAAGTCTGCGTCCGAATGTTATAAGCTTATAATGGTACGGCATGGAGAAAGCGATTGGAATAGAAAAAATTTGTTTTGTGGTTGGTATGATGCCAAGCTAAGTTTAAAAGGTAAATAACATGATTTGTATTGATACAATTATTGAAACATTTAAGGTAATTTTTCTATTTTTTGAATATTAAATAAGGCGTTCGTCGTTCTCTTCGAATCAGATTAAAATGAAAAACATTTTTTTTAACAAATTTGAAGTTCAGATAAAATACTTATAACATAACATAATCAAGGTTGGACTTTGGCTAAGGGCTATAACTATATTATTACAACTTTTAAGTTATGTATTAATATTTAACTTTGTATCTATAATACTACGTACTACATAGGTACCTACTACAGAGCTATATAGATACCTAATTCGAACGTAAGGAAGGACTTTAATGAGATTGTTCGACCAATAGGTATGGCCGATTATGTCCTTTTGTAAGATTTAAAAACGATTAACGGGCTATGAAAGTGTTGTTTAGTTATCATATTATATACATACAATACGTTTATTTTAATTGATCGTATAGTATAGATGCTAGCCGCTACTAGATAACTGACGTTCAAAAATTTGTCGTTACATACTCGTAATAACTATTGATTAGGCGCCTAGCTGTGTTCTATGTTGGTACTAATATAAATATAGGTAATAATGCAATATGCACAGTAGATGATTACACACGGACGATAGGTATATGTACTTAAAATTGCTACTACACGTTTGGGGTACGTATAGTTAATACCAATAATAGCTTTGAATCAGTTGGATGTTTAGTCAAATTCAACGTTTACATAACTTAAGTACTGTCGATATCGACCACTGTAGTCGTATAATAATATTTTTGTGATATTTTATTGGATATTTCAGGCGCAGAAGAAGCTGTATCGGCTGGGAAAACGCTAAAAGAACTTTGTTACCAGTTTGATATCGCCCACACTTCTGTCTTGAAGAGGGCCAAGGACACTCTGAGTACCATTTTAAATCAAGTAGAACAGACAAACATCCCAGTGCACTCAAATTGGCGACTTAACGAGCGGCATTATGGGGGTCTGACCGGCCTCAACAAGTCTGAGACCGCGAAGAAGTATGGCGAAGACAAGGTATACAACGCACAGCAATAATTTTATTATAGTTATATTATGAATATTTTTTTTTCTTCTGGACTATGCTAGGAATAACGTAAATTATCATAATATGTTTGTTCCTTACAGGTCAAATTGTGGAGGCGAAGTTTCGATATCCCACCTCCACCAATGGAGGTTGATCACCCTTACTACGATCATATAAAAAATAGCTCCAGTTACACAGACGGTCCCTCCGAGTGTGAGTTCCCAACTCACGAATCGTTAAAAATGACAATTGAAAGGACACTGCCGTATTGGGATAGCGTTATCGTCCCTCAGATCAAAAAAGGTTGTCGAATTATAATAGCAGCTCATGGGAATAGCCTAAGGGGTATAATAAAACATTTAGACAGTGAGTGAAGTTATATCATTTTTACCAATCTCTTCGACTAGTTATAGTTATCTAATAAATTGGGGAATTTGTGCACTGTAGATTAAATATTGAATATATATTAGCAAGTAAACAAAACATCTAACAGGGTAGGTAATTATATAATCACAAAAAAACTTGAAATGACTCTAAAAATAACTTTTAAATGTTAACTTTCTCTAGATTTAAATTTAACATAACTGAGTTAAAAAATATCACTAACTTGCCAATCCTTATATTAATATATTATTATCTAAAAGTGCTTTGACACGAATAAAATTAATACTATTTAATATTAAATTCTTCTTAATATTTTTTTTAGGCTATTACAATTCCAGTCCCACCAAACAGTAATAAAGCAATTTGTTATATTGTTTTACAGATATCTCAGACGAAGGGATTATGGGGTTGAACTTACCGACGGGCATACCATTTGAATATACGCTCGACGAGAATTTGAAACCCCTGGTTTCCATGAAGTTTTTAGGTGACGAAGAAACCGTCAAAAAGGCGATGGACTCCGTAGCTTCTCAGGGAAAAGCAAAATGATCAACTAGGACGTCCGTCAAGTTGGCACCGGCACTTTCTCCAAACAACTCAAAATTGGTATCAAAATTTTGCTACATTTTGCTACGCTATTTTTAGAATTTGCTACTATTTGGTTTTTTCGAAAATCCGGAAACAAACATGCCGGTGCTATCTTGACGTAGCACCGGCACTTTCTCCAAACAA